ACTAAAAACACACACTGCACCTAGAGCTAACGAATATACACTCGAATACTATGATCACAACATCATCAGAGCTAACCAAGATCAATTCTTAGACGACGATCGCTTCGCTAATCCACAAATTACCGAAAAATTTTTCATCAAGACACCATATATATTTACACTAAACATCTTCGACCGCAAGTTTGATCACATTATTTCAGAAGCACTAACAGACACACAAGCATACGAAAGTTTTAAAGAACGCTTCCAAATATTTTCACTAACCTTTCATTTCCTTGCACCACACGAAAGAGATTTACACTGCTCACACGATATTATGTTGCGCACTAAACAAACCCACACATATAGTTATTATCGCTTCATCCAAAATCACTTTGACCTACACACACCCTCTAGACAACCACACCATCGCTTTCAATTCATTAATTCCAAATACACTTCACCATTTTTCCTAAATTTCACATATTGTATTAAAAACACTAACCTTCATGGTATTCTTCGTAATTATGACCCCATAACCCAAATGTACATCTTCTGTCCCATCACCAAGACCTTCAACGCCGAAGAATCCCGACCCTTCCTTATCCCGCACGAGTTTGTACAACCTATAGAAATCCCAATTTTAGAATTCATCCACAACACTAAATTCAATCACAAATTATATAATCTAATCCAAAACACACCTTATGAGTTTGCAGTTGGCACTGAAGAACTAACCACTATAAAGGCACTTCAATTGCTTTGGCCACTGCTTCAGACTAAAAATATCATCCGCATCTTAGCTAAACTACTAACAACTTCCGATCTCATCCACGACATCTTCCCCCACGGTTTTTTCCCCGACGACTAACAGGTAAGTATGAATTAAATGAATATTACTAACTAATTAAAATATTAAAAACTCACCATTCTTTATCCATGTTTTCTTTAGATTTTTAGCCTTCATCCGACAATCACCTACAAAAACCACAAAAGACAAATAAAAATCGCAAATTTCATCAAACATATTTCAAAAATTCTATTAATCTCTTACACTTATAAATTTATAAATTTAATACCAATGCAGTAAATTCATTTCTAAAATTTTCCCCACAAGCAGTAAATCTAATTATGATGAAAATTTGTAACTTAAAATTCCCCCATAACTAGCAGTAAATTTCCAAATTCTACGCAGTAAATTAATAAAATGCAAATGCAGTACTAACCTTTTGATATTCTCATTTATTCGCACAGAAATTCTATCCACACTCGCACAGCTCGCCCACGAAGAATTGTTTAAAATAATGAATTTTAGTTTCAAGTTTTCACACTCAACAACTCTAACATATAATAACATGTTTCAAACTTTCCTTTAACCCGGTTGGAAAGGAATCATATACTAAACAAAACCAACCAACGCAGCTTACTAAATACCACAAATCATAGAATAACAGCATGACTAAGAAAAGGAAACCAACGGTACCCAAACCGGATTAACCCAGTTAAAAACTGGATAATTTATTCTTTTGAAGACTATTATAAAGTCTAAGAAAGAAATAATAAAACACAAAAAAGTCGAAAGACAAACCCATACCACAAACAATTTGATTTTTGGAAAAAGGACATAACCAACAAGACATAAGAAAAACCACAACAAACCCAACATAAAACGTTGTCACATAACAGGACCCCTCACAAAAACCGCATGAAATCATACTCCCACTCCTGGCCTAACCCACCAGGAAGGACGTCCTGAGCATGCTCTATAGCCGGCCTAACCCACCGTGCTACATCCACGCTTTGTGACCACACCTCTATTTTTAATAAGAGCTACTCAAGTGTGAGTAACTCTTCAAAATAACCGAACTAAAACAAAAAGCTTTTGTGAAAACAACTAACTAAAATCATAATTAAAAAATATTAAACTAATAAATGTTTTATAAAATGTAAATTACATTATGCAATACATAGATCAGAATACAACACCAAGGACGAACATCTAAAGACAAAACGACCCCACTACACTCGAGAGAGAATGACCAACCACAATCGATATGCCACTCACAATCACAACTCAAAGGATTTAGAGTACGACTTGACTTCGCAGAAAAGGACTGCATTGAACTAGACCAATGACCACCTCGATGCTCAAGTATACGTACAGATCCGAGGCATCCCCTAGGCAGAATACATAGATCAGAATACAACACCAAGGACGAACATCTAAAGACAAAACGACCCCACTACACTCGAGAGAGAATGACCAACCACAATCGATATGCCACTCACAATCACAACTCAAAGGATTTAGAGTACGACTTGACTTCGCAGAAAAGGACTTCATTGAACTAGACCAATGACCACCTCGATGCTCAAGTATACGTACAGATCCGAGGCATCCGATAACCAGGCATCCCCTCCACGCACAATCTCCACGCCATTCCCAAACTAGATCAGACACAAAAGAAGTTCTCCACGCAGAACAGAAAAACCTGACATAGCAAACCATTCTGAAATCAGATTTGAGTTTGTTGCAAAGACTTAGTCGTTGTCACTAGAAGACACAACGTCTTATGTCATCTAACTCCAGCTTCCTGGAACTTCTTTAACAAAAAGGAAACAAAAGAAATATGATGTTCGCCAAACACCAACGTCCATCATCCATCCTTCGAATTGCAGAAGAACCATTCTAAAAAACTCTGTAAAACCCGGATGGGTGGAACCTGATCTAAACTACATTTTATGATTGGATAATTTAGATATTTTACCAATGTAAAGTATTTAATATTAACCAATCATGATCCATCTAACTAACAACCCACTTATTTGTAAGTGCTGAAGTTACTTGTAATTTCAGCACCAGAGAGATTTGAATTTAACTTAGAAATTAGTTGGACTCTCCCGAGCACTTCAGCAGCCGCAATAAACCAGTATACCCTAGATCTATTGAGCCTAGCAGAGACTAGTTAAACAACCTGAGACTAGATAGTATAAGAGTAAGATTAGGATCGGTATTAGACTAAGAAGTTGCACGAATCTATCCGGCCGAAAATAAGATAGCGTGACGAGCAGACGGTGTACCCTATCCGAAATTACTCTATGAGTTAACCAACTCGAACATAACTCACTCCCTCTTAAGTAGACCATGTTAGTACCTACTTTGTTGGCGTCCCTCATGCTTGAAGGACCGAATGCTTGAAATTAATTTTAGCTTACTTTCAGCCAATCAGAATAGAGTATTCAAAATCTCAAAGTAAATCGCGAAAATCTCAAAATAAGAAAATAAATCCAGGCCATTAGTGCTAATTGACCGATTAAATAATGAGCAGATGAGTTTTCAAGACTGAAAAATTCTTATGATTTTGACCAAATTAATCTCGATGGTTATCTGATGCAATACTAATCAATTTGTAACCCGCAATTTGTAATATTTTTGATTATTTTCCACTGATTTAATACATTTTCTGTTAAATTTACTTCGATTTTGCGAGAAAAGCATTTAGCCAATAGAAACGCTTTTTGAAATTCTTTGATTAAAAAAGTTGAGTCGGTACGTCCAGAGAGTGCAATTTTCCGAGGAACAATTGCAAAACAAATCTGTTTTTCTGATTTGTTTTGGATTTGATTTAACTTAGTTTGTCTTAATTTTGCTTTACATTGCGTACAAATTACTCATTTCAAATCGCCCGGGTTGACCTCCATACACCGAAAATGGTTATCATACAATTCCATACATCAAGTGTATGGAAAATTGCTTGTCATACAATTTTCATACAATTTCTAAAAATGGTTGAAAACTGGTATAAACTTATTTCTGTGGATGTTTGGTTCTTATAAAACAGTCTGGTGATAAAAAAACTGAGGTTCTCGTTTTTTGAAAAAAATGCTTACCATACAATTCCCATATATGGGAATTGTATGACTGGCATTTTTTTGATGGCAACACAAAAAATTTTCCAAGTAACTTTTTGTTTTTTTTCAACCGCAAATCGAATTTCGTACGCAAACAAACATTTTTCGATTTTTTTTTTTGCATGCAAAATTTAATATTTTGTGTGCATAACGTAGTCCTGGATACGATAAAATTGGCTTTTATTTTCTTTTCACTTAATTTTTTTTTCAAAAACGCTGAAAATTCCTATTTCTTTTGTATGAGGTGTTAATGTAAGCCTTGAGCAATGTCTGATAACATGAAAATTCAAAAATTTAAAATAATCATCATTAAAAAATTTGGCCAAAAAATAAAAGTTCGTTACTTTTGTTATATCGATTGTGAAAAGCATCCAAATTCAGGTCGTTTGCTATGCATGATAAATGCAAGACCCCCAACCTTTGGTGTTTTGAGTAACCAAGGTCTTTGTCACTTGTGTTTGGTTGCAAACACAACCGAAATTTTTTCAGAAACTAAATTTAGAAAGAAAAAAATCAAAATTTTTGGTTTATGGAAAAAAACCTATCATACAATTTTCATATATGGAAAAATGTTTATCATAGAGATTTCATACAATGTTCTGTACGTATGGCATTGTATGGAATTGTATGACAAGAAGTTTTTCATAAATGGAAATTGTATGGTTAGAAGTTTTGGTCAACCCGGGCGGTTGAATATTTCATTTACCTACAGCCAAGATAACATCCTGCTCTTAAAACGTTTTGAGGAAAATTTTTAGTCCGTATTTTCAATTCGAAGCCAATTGTCTTCATTCTTACGCCTTTTCATGCATAACGCCTTTTATTCGAAAAGTACTTTTGACAGAAACGTTAAACTTATCATCGTATAAGGTGTCCAGGACATGTTCACACCATAGTCACAAAATTGAAGATTTGCCAGAGAAATTTGATGCTCAGTAACCGAAAACCCATGTCTTAGCAGAGGCAAAAGACATCTACTTCATAAAGGCTATTTGATGTTTGAAATCATATGAGAAAAAAGCGTCTAGATGCAACCAGAAGAAAAACGTTTGGACATGAGTACAGAACGATAGAATGAATCGTAGTTGAGTAATGAGTCCAAACCGCACCATTGGTGAATGCGGGCACGGCTTCGTTGAGGGGAGTGCATGTGAAGAGAGCGTGGAACTCCTCCGAGTTGACTGAGTCGGAGGCAGTCAGCAGCAGCTCCTCGTATCTCACAGGGGTGGGTGTGGCGTCAAAGTCCCACACGGCCGCCGTCTCTACATTCACACTGCAGGGCACATCGGGCGAAGAAGCGGAACAGGATAGGGCAGACAGCTGCAGAAGGCTCACTCCCGCGTCCTACAATTGGAGAGATTTTAACACAGAGTTAAGGGATGTCAGTTTAAACTCTAAATGAAATTCGATTCAGAGCAAAGCCAACTAAATGTCCTGTAAGATGTTTTCAATCGTAATAAAATTCATATGATTTGTTTTTCACCAGATTTCTGTCAAATCTGAAACTATAATATTTACGAGTGTGAATGTGATGGTGGTGGGTGTGGCAGTAGTTGCATCCCTGTCATAACAACTCAACACCCCCACCACACTGCTGGCCGCAGTCCCGTCCTCCACTTTGCCCCCCGGATACTTGGTCGCATAGGACACACTGCACTGTGGGGGGTTGTCGTTGTCGTTTGTGAAGGTGTAGGTGACTGTGATGTCGGCTGTCTTGGCTGGAGTCGCCTTGTCGCTCGCTCTGATGTACAAAGTCTGGCTAGTCTGGGAAGCGTCTATGGATTCAAAGTCTACTGGCTTCACTAGTCTGATCGCGCCTAGAACGAATAACTGAGTTGACTAGAAGTTTCATTTATGCTACAAAAACTGGAAAACTGGAATAAATTTCCTTTATGCAACAAAAACTGGAAAAGAAAAACTGAATTTGATGTTAAATCTTCCATAGTCTACGAAACTCACTATTTAGATGTCGTTTTTCGCAGGTAATTTCAAAACTGACAGCACCTATGTAATACATTGCTGTGTGTGAATATTTGGGAGTCTGACCTGAGAGTGAGCCTATGGCGAAGTATCCGTCTCCCCCAGTCATGGAGTACCTGACCATTCCCTCGGGGGTGTTGGCGTCATCCGCGTCAGTGCAGGAGACAGTGGCCACTACACTGTTCACGGCGTCACTCTCACTCACGTCAGCGTCAGTTAGAGCAGTGCACGCAGGTGCATTCGCATTCGCACTCTGCCAACACAACAGACTGTAAGTGTCAACACCTTTGCGAGCAATGAGTTTGTTTAAAGAAGCAGAAAAGTTTGAGAATAATTTCACTTGACGACTTGTAAAAGGAATTGGGTACCAAAATGAGCCCAAACTGTCCTTTTTGAAATGTTTGTGGCATGGGCTGGTCGAGGATTTTCTCGAGGGGCAGTTTTCAAAAAAAGTTGAAAATTTTGGTGACCGTTAGTTTTGGTCAAAAATATTTTGTTTCCGAGCTCCTAAAACATTAAAAAGACCCATTTTTGGGATATTCGTGGAAGACTTTGGACAAAAAATTGCATTTTTTGCGCGCGCTCCTCTCAAAAGAAGAATTATGAAGTTTTATGCGCTTCTAGGAAACTTTTAGTGTCGGTCGCCCAAAAAAAAGGATGTCGTAAAATAGTGCCAAAAGGAAACCATTTGGGTGATAAGGGGGTCAAATCTCCCCGCCGCTCCCAGAAATCTACCCCTGGTTTGCGGATAGCGTGACAATGTTGACCAGTATGCAAGCTAAGACGCGACTTGCAATCAGATTGTGATGACTGCTGTGTGTATGGGTAGGTTGTTACATACCTGTACTATGACGGAGACGGTGAAAGTGGTGGAGGCTGTGGTGGGGGTGGCGTCGTCTGTGGCCACAATGCCCAACGAGTACAGTCGGGTGGTGGAGTAAGCACCCACCAAATCTACACACAAATAGCAGTCCACCTCTTTCTCTCCAAAAACAAGCGTCACATAATGTCATGAACAGATCAGAGTTTGAAATGTATATAATTGAAAATATGAAAAATGCATGAGCAAATATTCTACATAAAATTTGTTGAACTCGATGTTTTGTCAAATCAGGACTGAGTTATTTTTGAAAAAATGAACTGAACCATTGCACGATTATGATAGATTGTTTCGTGGCGGTACTAGCCTGCTCCTGCTTTGATGGTGAGTTCTCCGGTGGCGGCGGCCACTTCAAAGTGGGTGCTGGCTGCACTGAGTGCATAAGTGACTGTGTCCCCGTCCTTGTCGGAACAGGAGAACGCATCCGATCCCACCAGCGTCGTCCCATCAGCTGGAATGAGAAGGGTAGGGAGTAATAAACAAGTAGTTTGAGTCAAATTATCTCGCACTGTTTTTCTATTCAACTGCAAATGATGAGTAGATAAGGGTAACATAAGAGGCGCATTTCAACAATTATGTCCTACTTCGGTGTGCGCGTGACACAAAAAAAACTTATTTGATGCAAAACTAAGATATATGAATAGCTATGTACGTTCTAAGCGTTAATTATAAAATGAGGTCTTTGCGCTGTTTTGCTTCGGAAGTTTTAACCATTACTTTACTTGATGGTCTTAATCAGCGATTTGTGAGCATGCTACACCATCATACCATCATACTACTAAGTGAGCATACTATACCATCATACCATCATACTACTAAGTGAGCATACTATACCATCATACCATCATACTACTAAGTGAGCATACTATACCATCATACCATCATACTACTAAGTGAGCATACTATACCATCATACCATCATACTACTAAGTGAGCATACTATACCATCATACCATCATACTACTAAGTGAGCATACTATACCATCATACCATCATACTACTAAGTGAGCATACTATACCATCATACCATCATACTACTAAGTGAGCATACTATACCATCATACCATCATACTACTAAGTGAGCATGCTATACCATCATACCATCATACTACTAAGTGAGCATACTATACCATCATACCATCATACTACTAAGTGAGCATACTATACCATCATACCATCATACTACTAAGTGAGCATACTATACCATCAAACCATCATACTACTAAGTGAGCATACTATACCATCATACCATCATACTACTAAGTGAGCATACTATACCATCATACCATCATACTACTAAGTGAGCATGCTATACCATCATACCATCATACTACTAAGTGAGCATACTATACCATCATACCATCATACTACTAAGTGAGCATACAATACCATCATACCATCATACTACTAAGTGAGCATACTATACCATCATACCATCATACTACTAAGTGAGCATACTATACCATCATACCATCATACTACTAAGTGAGCATACTCTATCATCATACCATCATACTACTAAATGAGCATACTATACCATCATACCATCATACTACTAAGTGAGCATACTATACCATCATACCATCATACTACTAAGTGAGCATACTATACCATCATACCATCATACTACTAAGTGAGCATGCTATACCATCATACCATCATACTACTAAGTGAGTATAATATACCATCATACCATCATACTACTGAGTGAGCATACTATACCATCATAGCATCATACTACTAAGTGAGCATGCTATACCATCATACCATCATACTACTAAGTGAGCATACTATACCATCATACCATCATACTACTAAGTGAGCATACTATACCATCATACCATCATACTACTAAGTGAGCATGCTATACCATCATACCATCATACTACTAAGTGAGCATACTATAATATCATACCATCATACTACTAAGTGAGCATACTATACCATCATACCATCATACTACTAAGTGAGCATACTATACCATCATACCATCATACTACTAAGTGAGCATGCTATACCATCATACCATCATACTACTAAGTGAGCATACTATACCATCATACCATCATACTACTAAGTGAGCATACTATACCATCATACCATCATACTACTAAGTGAGCATACTATACCATCATACCATCATACTACTAAGTGAGCATACTATACCATCATACCATCATACTACTAAGTGAGCATAGCTATACCATCATACCATCATACTACTAAGTGAGCATACTATACCATCATACCATCATACTACTAAGTGAGCATACTATACCTAACCATCATACCATCATACTACTAAGTGAGCATACTATACCATCATACCATCATACTACTAAGTGAGCATACTATACCATCATACCATCATACTACTAAGTGAGCATACTATACCATCATACCATCATACTACTAAGTGAGCATACTATACCATCATACCATCATACTACTAAGTGAGCATACTATACCATCATACTCATCATACTACTAAGTGAGCATACTATACCATCATACGATCATACTACTAAGTGAGCATACTATACCATCATACCATCATACTACTAAGTGAGCATACTATACCATCATACCATCATACTACTAAGTGAGCATACTATACCATCATACCATCATACTACTAAGTGAGCATGCTATACCATCATACCATCATACTACTAAGTGAGCATACTATACCATCATACCATCATACTACTAAGTGAGCATACTATACCATCATACCATCATACTACTAAGTGAGCATACTATACCAACATACCATCATACTACTAAGTGAGCATACTATACCATCATACCATCATACAACTAAGTGAGCATACTATACCATCATACCATCATACTACACAGTGAGCATACTATACCATCATACCATCATACTACTAAGTGAG